AATATATGTATGTATATTTGGTCGTCGTGGTACTGCTGTTGTTGCTGTTGCTGTTGGAAATTGGTTACATTTTTTCCATTTCTTTTCATTGAAAAATAAATTGTAATTTTTTCGTTTTTTCTCTACTATTTTGTTTTATTGTCATATATTGTTGTTTGTTGTTGTTGCTGCTGCTGCTTTTTAAAAATGATAGTTTATTGCTTTTGTGACCTCAGCCAGATTCAGAGTCAGTCAGTCAGTTAGCCGACCAGCCAGGCAGCCACTCAGTCGTGCTGAGAATTTTGAATTTATTACGCTTTCATTACCATTACAAATTCGGTTGTCTCTGCTCTCCTTTGGCTTCTTCTTCTTCTTCTTCTGCATTTTGTACTTGACAATGATGTCTCTTGACTGCTTTGGGTTGGATTGTTGTAGCCCTGACTTGTGGCTTGCGGTCGTTGATGGTTTTGTTGAAAACCCCCCCCCCCCCCTTTTTTTTTTTCCCTCTCCCCAAAAAAAGTCACACATTTCTCTTGAGTGTTTGTTTTATTTATGTGAAATCACATTGAGTGGTTGAATATAATTTACAATTCTTTGTGTTTATTTTTTTTTTTTTCTAACCAAAAATATATGTAAATAAATAATAAAACAAAGAAACATTATCTTTTTCTTTAAGAAATTAAAGTGCCAGCATGAGTCACATTTTGGAATCCGCAGAGAGAGAGAGAGAGAGAGAGAGAGATTGCCTGGCGTTTTTGTGGGTATTGAGGAAAATTAAAGAATTGATTTAATTTGTGTAATCTCGGCAACATATCATTTGATATGGCCAAAACGTGCCTCATCGAAGTAACGGGTTTAAACCCGTTTCAGGACATTTGGGGTCGATCTAGAGTTGTTCCTCCGTCCGTCCGTCCATGTGCCTTTCTGACTGGTGCGTACGATAACTCTCGAAGGCGGTATCCGATTTGATCCAAACTTGGTACATGTTAATATTATTACCAAACTTGGTTTAAGCTCGGAGTTGAGCAATATAGGTCCAATTCTTCTGGTATCTTTCTCCACAAAAAGTCAAAATTTTCACTGAAAACAATTTACCTCATAGAAAGAGAAAGCATCATTCAATTTTGTTCGAACTTTGCAAATACTAATGTTTGCCTCAGTGTTGGGCCATCTGCGAAAATGGACAATATCGGCTCACTCCTTGAAGCGACTGACCCATAAAGGAGAAACATTTTGAATAAAGACAAGTAAAAAACATTAAGTTCGGCCGGGCCGAACTTTTAATACCCTCCACCTTATTTAGACATCCTTCACCATATTTTTAGACATATTCGTGGGCAAATTTGGCAAAAATCATCAAAATGCCGAATATCGAGAGGTACCACTATATAGGGCTATACAAATGCGTGGACCTATACATACAATGTTTTGGCGCACGAACTTGGACCCACTATGACGTAAAAATACCAATTTTTAGACAAATCCATGAAAAAATGTGGCAAAAATCATCAAAATACCAAATATCGGGATGTACTATTATATGGGGTCTATACCAAAACGTGGACCGATATATTTCATTTTCAATACCAACCATCCTAGACACAATACAAATTATTCTGCTAAGTTTTGACGCTCTACGTCAAATAATGTGGGCTGTATAGTGATATCAACAGACAGACAGACAGGCATCGTTAAATCGTCTTAGAATTTTATGCTGATTATGAATACATATACTTTATGGGGTCTAGGACGAATATTTAAGGATGTTACAAACGTAATGACAAAGTTAATATACCCTCCTTTCCAAGGTGGAGGGTATAATACAATTTGAAATTAGTGCCCGAATTTTTTCAAATTTCGCACAACGCCAGACAAAACAGCTGAAGCTAGAATCTTGTAATTTTACACGACGTCAGTTTTGGTGCCTAGGCAAGTTTTAAAAAATGTGCACTAAATGGGTACGACAAGTAGTAATATTTACTAGAAACAAGTTAAAAGGTATCAGTCGATATGGCCGACAGATGTCCAGGGGGGAGAAAAAAAAACTGCAGCAAAGTTAAACGCCATAATTTTTACATTTTTTTTAAAGTTTATTGAATGAAAGCAAAAAATATCGGAAATAACATCAAATTTTAAAATAAGTTTAGATTAGTTCCAATTGGTCACCTTTGGTACGAATTATGGCCTTCAAACGGCCAATGAAACCGTCACACGCTGCCCGAATGTTGCTCTGTGGTATTTTGGCCCATTCCCGGCGAAGTGCTTGCTTGAAGTGATCGACACTTTGGTATTTTTTAGTGCCAACCTTGCTTTCCAAAATACTCCAGACACAATAGTCCAACGGATTGATATCCGGAGATTTTGGTGGCCATTGTGCGCTGGAAATGAAGCGAGGGACTTCATTGTGTAACCTTTCTTGGGTGGCGCGTGCTGAGTGCGATGGTGCTGAGTCCTGTTGGAATGTCCAAGGTCTGCGGCCAAAATGTGTGTGTGCCGAAGGCGATAATATTCGGCATTTATTCTAATGCCACGGTCGATTAATACGAGCGGAGAGCGACTATCGGCTGTTATGGCGGCCCACACCATCACCTTAGCCGGCTTGAGGCTTGAGTTCCGGTGGCCAACCGAAGGTGCACATTTTCAGCTGACCTCTTTGGCAAGTAAACACGATCATTTTGTTTGCCTTTGTTTACAAACTGCTGGACAACGAATGTTTTCTCATCGGAGAAAAACAGTACACCCACCACTTTAGGCCAAGCGAATCAACACTTTACCTTTTTTGAGTCTATTTTCTTTCTGTTGCGGTGTAAGTTCTTGCACTTTTTTAAATTTCAAAGGCTTTACCCCGAGCTCATTTTTCAATATTTGCCGAATGAAATATTGCGATATGTTCAGCTCTTTAGCCATTTTTCGGCCTCTGCGACGTGGGTTTCGATCAAGTCGCTTCTTTTCGTTTCGAACCATTTATGCTGATGTTGCTGTTTTCTTCCGTCAACTTCCTTGACGTCGGGCTACGTTGCCAGTATCACGGTAACGAGCAATGTTGCGAGACACAAAAGATTTATTAACATTTAAATGCAGGAGTTCTCTAACGATAGCCACTTGGGGTTTTCCAGCCAAATATAAAGTAATCAAACTATCACGCTTGAATTCCATCACGAATATATTTTTTTCTGGAAAATTCTCACCAAAATGCTTTTGTACGCTTGTAAACAATATAATGAGCTGTCACCGGAATAATTTTAGCAGCTATCAGACGAGTGGCTTTGAAATGACAGCTGTCTGAAATTGGTTGCAGTTTTTTCATCTCAACCTGTATATGATTTATTCTTTTGCTTCAAACGAAATTTAAGGCTTGAACTCGAAAAAGACTTTGGAATTTTTTTTTTCAAACAAATTAGGAAAAATTTCTCTTTTTTTTGTGGTAGCATTGATATAAATATTTTTATGATATAAAATAAATAAAGAGTACTTTTTTCTTTGGTGACTTATTCTGAAATTTGATGAAGAATATTTTTGTCCTTGACGCCTTCCCCAAAAAACTAATTTTTAAGGGACATTTTGACTTAGAATGGAAACGTTTTAAATAGGCAATTAAAAAATAAATAAATTATTTTCACTTGCAATATGTAAATTTCGAATGCAATTTTTTTAACTATTATACCTACATGTATGGTTTATTCCGAGATTTATAGTGTAGTTTTGTGTAGAATATATCGTTCTTTGATACTTTTTGGCTACAGCGAAATTTTGTGTTTCTTTGAGCCGTCAACTCGAAAAAAGCCCAAGAAAAAATTTATGATAAAATAGAGAATATTTTTTTATTAATGTAAGTACTTTTTTCCACTACAATGAAAATAGAGAATTTTGCTCTGCAGTGACTTATGGTGAAATTTGATGAGAAACATTTTTATCTTGGATGTCAGTCTTCTTAAACGATGTTTAGTGGCAGATTTTTACATAAACTCCCATTTAGTTTGACTTTAACCCAAAAAATATACTTTTAATATTATTGAATTCCTGGCGTTTTGGTAAGATTCAGGCTTTTGATGTCTTCTGGGACCTATAGTAGAAATTTATGACAAATAAATTTGCGGAATATTTTGACTTGCTACGATCCCGTTTAAGGGGAGTTTTTGAACATATTTTGGAAAATGGACCAAAAAGACCCCTTTCTGGACTCATTTGAGGGTTAAAATATTTGAGCAAAATAAACCTTGTATTGTTATCTGTAATATTGGTGAAGATACTATGGACCTAAAATGAACGGATTCCAAGGTATCTTGATACGAAAATTCCACAAAATGTTCTTTTTTTTGTTCACTAAAGGACACTAAAGGTGAATTTTTGAAATTTATTTTTCAATTACATCGGAATTTCAATTTCGGATTATTTTTTAAGACTATCGGAGCTCTAAGCATCGATTTTTTAGTTTTTTTTCCAAACCCTCTCCGAGTATGAATACTGAAGTTTTTATCGATTTTTTTTTTCAAGAACTGCTAGAGCCTTAGGTTGAAATTTTCAAAGATTTGTTTTTCAAGGACTATCACTAGATTGTGATTTAATATACAACTCCCTTGATAGGCTTAAAGCACAAAAATGCCCCAAAGCTGTGGGATCGACATGATTTGTAATACCTTTCGTCTTGGCTGACAACTTATTGAGTTTCTCCGAATCAAGTTAGACCTTTACGAATTAGTCTCTACTTCATTAATCAAAAATCACTTTCAATCTTAGTTTAATTAATATTTTCAAAATTTGTCACAAACTAAAAATTATAAATTCAGAATATTTAAATAACTTTAACACTCTTTGTCATTTGCAAAACTAGTTCACCAACTAAACGCCGCTTTGTTGTTTTTTAGCCATATTTTTAAACAACAGAGACCGACAGACACACAAATAAACTGACCTGACTGACTCATTATCACCACAGTGGCAATACATTTTTTTTGAAAATTTTTTGTCTCAGCGATTGTCTCACATCTGAATCTACATTTAATAACAAAAACACAAAGAACTATCGTTTGTAACTTTTTTGCATCAGCTATTATAACGGTGTGACATGAAATATTGGAGCATGAATGAATTTTTCATAGCTTTTGTTTTTTTTTCAAAATGAATTAAAAATTGGATGACAAATTTGCATATGAAGCATATACCGAAGGGAATAAGTTCTTGTGAAGGACTATCAGATCTCCAAGCGTGGATTTTTTTTAAAAGATTTTTTCCAAAGACCAACAGAGCTCTAAGCGTGGATTTTTTAAAAGATTTTTTCCAAAGACCAACAGAGCTCTAAGCGAGGATTTTTTAAAAGAATTTTTCCAAAGACCAACAGAGCTCTAAGCGTGAATTTTTTAAAAGAATTTTTCCAAACACCAACATAGCTCTAAGCGTGGATTTTTTAAAAGAATTTTTCCAAACACCAACATAGCTCTAAGCGTGGATTTTTTAAAAGATTTTTCCAAAGACCAAAAGAGCTCTAAACGTGGATTTTTAAAAGAATTTTTCCAAAGACCACCAGAGCTCTTAGCATGAATTTTTTAAAAGAATTTTTCCAAAGACGTTTTTGTTTTAATTTAGTACATGGAACACCTCTCATTTCTGAAATGAAAATAAAATTCCATTGTTCATAATCCAAATTACAGGAAATATTTATTTCAGATACTCGACAAAAGAAAATAATGCCAGTGAATATTTACGAAATCCATTAAAAATATTTACAAACCTTGGCCATTTGTTTTGTTTGGGTTTGCGATTACAATTTCAGCCACCGGCCGACCTACAACAATGCCGAAGATCAACTCTTCCTCTATCCGGTTTTTGTTTTTGTTGGATTCGATAAAAACATTTGGTTCTTTGTTTTCTATCGAGTGAATTTATTTTCGTTGCAGATGTGTGTGTTGTGTGTGCTAATATTTACAATAATTTTTGTTTTCTTGCAAATTTGAAATGTCAATAAACAAATAAAGTTTGAAGTAAACAAACAATAGAAGGCTATGAACTCATCTGCAAAATTTTAAAATAAAATACAAATAATAAAAAATGTGCAGATCTGAATAAAATATTTTGGTGGGGGAGGGAATAATTTTCTTAAAACTACAAAAAAAAAATATGAAAAAATGTAGAATTGCGGAAAATGTTAAAATAATAGCGCAATATATATGGAGATGTTCTTTGTTCTAATTAAAACATTTTTCCTATTTTTTAAGAATTTGTTTCTGGGGCTCTCAGAACTATAATCGGGCATTTTTATTGTCAGAGCTATTACCGTGTAGTTTTTTTATTTTTAAGATTTTTTTTTTTTTGAAGAAAAGACTATTTTTCCACTCCATCGTAAACCACACTCTTTTTCGTAATGCTATTGCGCCTTCAATTTTTCCATTACAATTCTTATCAGTTTTCCCATTTGTTTTATTTTTTACATAGACCCCAATTCTATAAATAAATTGCAATATGAAAATAACACCACTACGCCCATATTGTTACCTTCGCTTGCAAAACAACAAAAATCCGCTCATAGAACAAAAACTAATAATTCCAGCCAGCCAACCAGCCACGATCTAATTCTTATCAGCTGGCCATGATTTTTCGAAAGGCTCTTCCTTCCATTCCAAATCGCAAAACAAAACAAAAAAATACATAGAACGTCATAAAAGTGAATTGCATAAATCGAAGCTTATCGCCAAAGTAAATGGCCAATACCGGCACAACAACGACAACAACCACGAAATTGCTAATAATTTCCTTATTTGCAAAATTTTCTATTTTGAGAATAGTTCGTGCTTGGTACGGTTGAACAGAGATTTTTTTGTATTCTGCGTTTTTTTTAAAGTACTCACAGAACAACCAAAATGGAATCTGTGTAGAAAAAAAAAAAAAAAAAAAAAAAAAAAACGTGAATGCAAAAAAAAATCTAGAAACTAAACAAAAGCTCATTAATAACAAGAATAACAGAATAACAAAAAAAAATAGCAATAACAAATCTAGACAGTCAAGTTGACAGCAGCAAAAAATTATTAATAAAAATAAAAAAATCTATAAAAAATAATAACAAAAATAATAATTAAGTAAACGTGTTTTGAGCGAGAATAGTCAGTGTCATTGTCGTTAATCACAAGATATGCAATATGTAACTGTAGTTGTGCACTGAATGTGCAACACAAAAGGAACGATAAAATTAGAAGGCACATAAGACATAGAGGGTCTTCTATAGATGGCCAGGAGGTCTTATATAACAGACCTATAGATGATCAGGAGGTCTTTTATAGATGACTAAAAGGTCTTCTATTGATGACCAAGAGCTCATCTATAGGTGACCAACAGGTTTTCCTATAGATGGCCTGGCGGTCTTATATAGCAGACCTATAGATGATCAGGAGGTCTTCTATAGATGACTAAGAGGTCTTCTATTGATGGCCAAGAGCTCATCTGTAGGTGACCAACAGGTCTTTGAAAATTATTTTAAAAAAATCTATGCTTAGAGCTCTGTTGGTCTTTGGAAAAAATATTTAAAAAAAACCAGGCTTAGAGTTTTGTTGGTCTTTAGAAAAATTCGTTTAAAAAAATATATGCTTAGAGCTCTGTTGGTCTTTGGAAAAATTTGTTTAAAAAATCCACGCTTAGAGCTCTGTTGGTCTTTAGAAAAATTCGTTTAAACAATCCACGCTTAGAGCTCTGTTGGTCTTAGGAAAAATTCTTTTAAAAATCCATGCTTAGAGCTCTGTTGGTCTTTGGAAGAATTCTTTTAAAAAATCCACGCTTAGAGCTCTGTTGGTCTTTGGAAAAATTCTTTTAAAAAATCCACGCTTAGAGCTCCGATAGTTCTTTAAAAAAAGTAATATCTTGAATATTAAATCTAATTGTTTTTTTTTTTCTTTTCAGGTAAGTGTTAATATTTTTTTCGCAGTATATTCGTAAGTAGACCAAAATACCACCGGATAGTTTTATATCGAAATGTTTTTAACCGAAATGGGAGGACAGCGAACTTATGTCATTGTATCTCCCATAAAAATTTCTTATCTCAAACGAAATTTGTACATACTCTTAAGGGTGTACTTCACAAGCTGTGATGGGGTATCTGAACTCCACTGTCAATATCAAGATTGTTTCAAAATATTTACAGAAATAATTTAAAACCCAAAAAATTCCCACACCTAGAATTTCAACATCTGAACAAAAAAATATTCTCACCCTGCATTTTTAATATTTGTTTTGGTTATTAACACCTTTGCCATTTGTCATCTTCGAGGCGATATTAATTTTGACACTGAAAATTGACACAATAATATCGAAGATAACGTGGCTGCTTCTATTCGTTGCGTGCCAATATTCTCATTTTATGTTCGATATCGAGATATGAATTTCGATTAATTGGTGTTATCTGCTACGCCATAAACACCGACAACGAATGAAAACGTAGAACAATTTTGCACTCGTATCGGAATTGCTGAATTTTTATTTATTCTTTTTATTACACCATCCATTAAGGGGTTTATGACTTAATTTAGACGGTATTTCAAATGGATAGAAGCTTCTACGGTGATTGGTTACAGTGGGCACCCTATTGAAGAGAAACAAAAAACCTCAAGGGCATCTACAGATGACCTAAAAATCTTAGATCTATAGGAGATCTTCTATACATAACCTGTAGGTCTATATACCTACTTCTTCTATAGATGACCAGTAGGAGGTCGTATATAAAGAAGACCTGTAGGAGGTCTTATGTAGATGACCTGTAAGAGGTCTTCTATAAATGACCTGTAAGAGGTCTTCTATAAATGACCTGTAAGAGGTCTTCTATAGATGACCTGGAAGAGGTCTTCTATAGATGACCTGGAAGAGGTCTTCTATAGATGACCTGGAAGAGGTCTTTTATAGATGACCTGGAAGAGGTCTTCTATAGATGACCTGGAAGAGGTCTTCTATAGATGACCTGGAGGAGGTCTTCTATAGATGACCTGGAGGAGGTCTTCTATAGATGACCTGGAGGAGGTCTTCTATAGATGACCTGGAGGAGGTCTTCTATAGATGACCTGGAGGAGGTCTTCTATAGATGACCTGGAAGAGGTCTTCTATAGATGACGTCAAGAGGTCGTCTCATAGATGACCTCAAGAGGTCTTCTATAGATGACCTGGAGTAGGTCTTCTATAGATGACCTGGAGTAGGTCTTCTATAGATGACCTGGAGTAGGTCTTCTATAGATGACCTGGAGTAGGTCTTCTATAGATGACCTGGAGTAGGTCTTCTATAGATGACCTGGAGTAGGTCTTCTATAGATGACCTGGAGTAGGTCTTCTATAGATGACCTGGAGTAGGTCTTCTATAGATGACCTGGAGGAGGTCTTCTATAGATGACCTGGAGGAGGTCTTCTATAGATGACCTGGAGGAGGTCTTTTATAGATGAGCTGGAGGAGGTCTTCTATAGATGAGCTGGAGGAGGTCTTCTATAGATGACCTAGAGGAGGTCTTCTATAGATGACCTGGAGGAGGCCTTCTGTAGATGACCTGGAGGAGGTCTTCTGTAGATGACCTGGAGGAGGTCTTCTGTAGATGACCTGGAGGAGGTCTTCTATAGATGACCTGGAGGAGGTCTTCTATAGATGACCTGGAGGAGGTCTTCTATAGATGACCTGGAGGAGGTCTTCTATAGATGACCTGGAGGAGGTCTTCTATAGATGACCTGGAGGAGGTCTTCTATAGATGACCTGGAGGAGGTCTCCTGTAGATGACCTGGAGGTCTTCTATTTATTTTTTTTTTTTTCAAAGAAATATAAAAATACAAAAACGTATCTGTCTATCAACAATAGACATGAATAATAGTCAATGCATGACTTATACTTGCAGTTAATAACGCTAATAGGCACCTATTTGCACAGAGCCTGTAATTAACAGCGGAATATTAAAGTTCTCCTCTTTTTTTCCATTCTGTTAACACATTTGTTAATAATTTCAAATTCACCAAGTTTTGTTTTTTTTTGGTTTGTTCAGTTTCAAGTATTTGCCAACTACCCCGCCACCACCGCCAGTGGTAGAGGGTAAATATAGGGCCGTACACAAGTGATGATGGGTGCTATAATGTGATGGGAGAGGGAGGCATGGGAAGCTAGCTACACAGCTAACTAGTCTTAATGTAGTGCCGCAAACCGAATAGTAGGTCATCAACTAATTAACGTAGTTTGTGTGGTGGTTGTAATGTGTGCTGCCGCGGGCCTGAGGAGGGTATATTGGGTTAAGCAAAGTGTTCCGACAAATGCAGCATATGAATGAATGTGGATACAAAGAGACACGGAGATGAACACAATACGCAAAGAGAAGTCCACATTATTGTAATATGTGTTAGGCTAGGGTCTTGGGAAACGATATTAAACAGAGCGGAGAGTTACTATCGTTATTATAGCCTCCACCATAGTATGGAGGGAACATTAAGTATGTCATATTCTGGATCAGAATAAAATTCTATGTTGATTTAGCTATGTTCGTCCGTCTGTGGAAATCTCTCTAGCTTCCGAACGAAATGAAGAAGGTTGATAAAATGTTACTCAAATGTATATTATGTCTGCAGGACATTTGATATTGAAAATGGGTTTATGTAGGTCCACGTTATGGTATAGCCACCATATAACGGCACATCCCGATATTCGGTATGTCGATGATTTAAGCAAAATTTTTCACCGAAATTGTTTAAAATTTGGTATTTGAAGTTCGTAATGGATGCTACATCCTATGACAGAAAATTATCTGTGCAGGTACCTACCGACATTCGGTATTTTGACGATTTTAGCGACATTATTCACCGGAATTGTTTCAAATTTGGTATTTGAAGTTCGTAATGGATACTACAGCCTAAGACAGGAGTTTCTCTGTGCAGGTCCACGTCTTCGTATAGCCCTCATGTAACGGTACCTCACGATATTCGGTATTTTTATGGTTTTGGCGACATTATTCACCGGAATGGTTTCAAATTTGGTATTTGAAGTTCCTAATTGCTACTACAGCCCATGACAAAAAAATTGTCTGTGCAGGTCAACGTCTTCGTTTAGCCCCCCCATATAACGG